AATAAGGAAATGTGTTTCTTTAACTTGTCCAAACATTTTTTTTTCATTATTCATTTACATTGTAAAAATTCTAGTCACTTTATTTTATGAAAAGCCATTTTAAAATTCCCAATTTTATAATCATTAAATTTTAAAATTTACCATACTTAAATATTTTTACAAAGGTTATATGAACTCACTCTGTCTGGTAAAAAGTGTGTACACCTTTTTTCTCACACACCCAATCTTGGATTAAGCTGAAATTGTGCATAATTATCATATTTTGGCGCATATAATCTGCAGGTTATACAAGTTTTTACAAACGAATGGCAGTTGTGCGGGCTTTAAATAAATTTATTTTACTCATAGACCGGTGGGTCTTTATTACTTCCTAAAGCTCACTGTGTGTGGGGTTCACTGTGTGGTTGTGAAATGTACATTGGAAAGTTTTATGAACATTTCATTCTAAACCTCAAGAAAACAAATAGTGCTGATGACAGTACTTTATGTACCAGTAGTTTACAACAAGTCACGCTTTGCACATCCTAGGTTTATAAAGGTGCAGGTTGTACAATTTTGTTTACAAGTCACGCTTTGCACATCCTAGGTTTATAAAGGTGCAGGTTGTACAATTTTGTTTACAAGTCATGCTTTGCACATCCTAGGTTTATAAAGGTGCAGGTTGTACAATTTTGTTTTTACTTATTTTTTATTTGTGTGTGGTATACGCGAGAGGTATATGCACACAAATACAGTATCTCTTTTACCTGACAAAACAAGAATCAATTTTTAAAAATTATCCATTAAGTTAATTAACAGTTGATAATTAATTATTTTGTTTTACATTGAATAATGGAGAGAAATTGTACTTGACTGATGTAGTAGTATAAGCTGAATTAGTCCCCTTTATACTTGTAGAGAGAAATAGGTTGCCAAGTATCAAACTTACAATAGATAACTATAAAACCTTCTTTTATCATAAGCCTTTCGCTGGCACAGTGGGTTTTATGTTGAATGAGCTGAATTTCAACTCAAAGCCTCAAGCCTCCTCAAGCCAACTTATTTTTAGATGCATTTAACAAATGATCAAGGTAACATTCCCCAAGACACCCCCTTCTTTCTCCCCCCACTTATTTTCCAACTGGTCCAGACAAGTGATAGGAGCATAGAGTAGTGAGAAAGCTAGAAGCATGAAATTGCACTAAACAAAAACAATTAGTACAAATATTTATAATTGCACTGATTTAATAGTCTATATCTATTACTACTTTGCTTTTGCCTGCATATACCTCACATGTGCTTATACTACCAAAGATGTTTGCACTCCATCATGGACTTATAGTGGCAAGACTGCAATACAAACAACGATTTCCTTGTATAAGCCAGTATGGACAGTATAGAGGGACCTCTTATGGTCCAACAGTTACCCTGGGCAGGGTACATATTCCGTATAAAGGACAAACGTATGCTTAAAGCAGTCTTTTTTTGGTGAGCTGAAAAGTGGTTCACGTAACAGAGGTGCCCCACTGAAAAGCTTTAAAGACCAGCTTATTATTACAAATTTAATTATTACTGATACACTTAATACTCAATGTTTTTTTTTAATTGAGTTTGAATAAGTTAATTTGTCATTGTGGCTTCTATATTTAGAGACATTCTTTGTATGTTTATGTCATTTAAGAAAGGACTTCAAAATTGTATGTAGCATTCTGAAATGTGATTTATGTAAAACAGTAATGAATAATAAAGAATATTTATTTGACTTGTTGTCATCTTTATTTAAGCAAAGTGGCTTCTCCCAATCCAAACAAACTCAAAAGTTAAGCAGAAAAAGGTTTTATTATTATCAAAAGAGTTTCTAATATTGAAATACTGTGAGAACAATTCTTTGAAAGGATATTTCTGGCACTTACACACACAGATAAGAAAAAGACAATTCTATAAACTGAATCACATTGGAATAAACATCAAATATCAATTTGTCTTGCTATGCATACATAAAACAATGTTTCTCCAAAATAGCTTGGTCAGATTAGATCAGTCACTGCCTACAATTTAAAAAGTTATCCTTTATATACTAAACTAATTCATACTGTTAAAGCACTCCCATGGACATCTACTTAAGTTACATACACACACACACACGTATATATATATATTTAGAAAAACATAACTTCTGGTAGTGTTAACAAAATAGTACACTAGTTTAGGCACTTGGAAACTGAACAATCAAAACAGGTAAGCTTATTTTGTCACAAATCATTTCATCTAGTTAAACACAGATCAATGGAATTGGAAGTTACATAGGTTAAGATGCCAGGTCAATACTGAAGGATCAAAAGGGAATGATTTGATTTGTGGTGCCAAATAAAGTACACTTACCCATAGAAGTAATAGATCTCTACACTAACCAACATAAAGAGAAATCTGAACACCAACCAAAAGGTACTAGATCTAATTTGATACATACAAATTCATATGTAGTGTTAAAAAACATTTTTTATAGAGGAAAAAAAATTGCTACACAATGAGTATTTTAATGGTTTCTTTTTTTTTTTACTCCAGCTAATTTCACCATTAAACCCTGACCTGAATACCATACTCCATTCCACTATTCCGATCAACACACTTGTATTACATGCTTTACTTTCTCATTGTCATCAAAACAAAATGTCCATCTTACAAACCTCTGGATACATTTCATTGACATTATCATAGAATTATAGGTTATGTATTGAACAAAATGTTTACTAATAGTTATATTAATGATATGTTTATAATTATTCACAAGTAAAACCTTTAATTTGTACATTAATATAGTTGCACAGAAATACAAAATCTTATAATAGTCTCTTTGCTTGTTTTTATGTCTTTTTTTTTTTTTAAAAATAGAAATAGGATATTTCTATAAAATTTGTATTCCAAACTGGACGGATGACGTGAACTAAAACAATTATTGTATTATTATCCTTCATCATTCATTTACTGTTAGATATACATGCATTTTATATGAACATTTTTCATAGTATGAAGTAAAATAAAATTGAGTAGACATCACAGTCATGTACCAAATAGACAAACAATAATACATACTTGCTTAATAGTTAAAACAGTAAATATTAATGTATTCAATGGAAAGACAGAAATTATTATGTTAATAAATTAAGAGTTAAAAATCAACAAATGCATAATTCAGCAATGCATCATATTTTTAAAAAAAAAATTAAAAATATTTTCATACATTCTTTGTTCTCAAAGCTGTATAAATTTTATCAGATACTTTCCACAACCGAATATTCCTCCACTGTTTTATTCATGACTAAATCTAAACAGTGATCATTCACTGGTCAAATGCTTGCACAACAATGTTTTACTTCATGTAGATACCATAGTTGTAGAACAATCTGTAAGCCTGTTGAATACTATTTCATAGTTCTTGGCACTGCTGGAATGTGGATGGTAAACTGACAAAGAATCTCTGAGAATATATAGACTAGAAATGATTTCTATTACATGAAGGATTATAACTCTGTTTTTTTACCACTTTGCTGTTTCATTTTGCTAGGCATCAACTTAGGTTCTGCTTTTTGCTGATTTGTGGAAACTTTAACAGAAGCTGTCTTGGAAGGAGGAATTGTTTTAGAGGTTTCTTGCGGACTTTGCTTTGAAGGCTGGTTGCTTCCAATGGATTTTGAATTTTGTTTAGGAGATGAGGGAACAGGTTTTGTATTTTGTTTAGGAGATGAGGGAACAGGTCTTGTATTTAGTTTAGGAGATGAGGAAACAGGTTTTGTATTTTGTTTAGGAGATGTGGGAACAGGATTTGTATTTTGTTTAGGAGATGAAGAAAACGATTGTGTTTTTTGTTTAGGAGATGAGGGAACAGGTTTGGTATTTTGTTTAGGAGCTGAAGAAAATGATTGTGTTTTTTGTTTAGGTGGTGGGGAAATTGTTTGAGTAGATTGTTTTGAGATAGTCTGTTTCGCTGGCATTTGATCTGAGTGTAGACTTTTATTCTGAGTTTTTTTTACAGCTGCTACTTTAGTATTTGGCTCAGCCTGAGTCTTATCAGGATTCCCTTTTCTTGGAATATTTTTAGAGTTAACAATGTTTTGTTTTTGTTCCTGTGCTGAGGTTTGAAGTTTGTTCTTAACAACTTTAGTGCCCATTTGGTTTGCTGTTTGTGGCTTTACTGCTAGTGTATTCTTTAAATCCTTAGTTGCAGGCTGCTTGAGTTTAGCATAAACAACTTTTATTGGCGCATCTGGTAATTCATCATTTTTATTGTCATCTTTTGAATTGACACTTTTTACAGTTAAATCATCACTGGGAGAGGCAGCTTCATTTTCATCAGCAGCAGCAGAAGCAGATTTTCCCCAGATAAAATTTTTGACAATATCAATAAGGTCATATTTTTGTTCATGAGGCTTTTGTTTAACAGGAGGTGGAAGTTGTGGTTTCTCTGTTGTTTGATCTCCTTCTTGGCTCAAGGCTGCAGCCATCATTTTCTTTAAAGCATTTTTTATTCGTATCCAGAATGATGCTTGTTCTTTAGCCAAACTTCTTTTTTTGCTGGGCTTCTTAATTGGCTTTACAGGGCATGTTTCTTTGTCACACTTGGTTTTGTCCTGGTTATCTGGTATTCCATCACCATCATCATCTTTATCAACACTGTCTGGTATACCATCATTATCATCATCATCATCAAGGTAATCTGGAATGCCATCATCATCAGAGTCTTGACTTTTATCCAGTATACCATCCCCATCAGCATCATCATCCATGTAGTCTGGAATTCCATCACCATCTGTATCCTCTAGAGCATCTGGGATACCATCATTATCATCATCATCATCTCTAATATCAGGTATACCATCTCCATCAGAATCAGGAAGCTTATCGGCAACACCATCTCCATCAGCATCATCATCTAGATAGTCAGGTATTCCATCACCATCAAAATCTTCTTTATCATCAGGAATACCATCCCCATCATCATCACTGTCTAAGAAGTCTGGAATACCATCATTGTCATCATCATCATCAAGGTAATCTGGTATGCCATCACTGTCTGAGTCTTTTTCCATAAAATCTGGAATACCATTACCATCTTTGTCAGTGTCATTAATATCTGGCACACCATCATTATCATCATCAGCATCAAGATAATCAGGGACTCCATCTCCATCAGTATCATCTTCTTCAACATCTGGAATACCATCCCCATCAGCATCAGCATCTTCATCATCAGGAATGCCATCATTGTCATCATCATCATCTAAATAATCCGGAATACCATCACCATCTGTGTCAATTTCTTGGTCATCAGGGATTCCATCTCCATCATCATCATCATCTAGTTCATCTGGTATTCCATCATTGTCATCATCATCATCTATATAATCAGGTATACCATCCTCATCTGTATCTATTTCTTGATAATCTGGAATTCCATTTTTATTTATGTCCAATGTCTTAAGTTGATCAGGTATACCATCACCATCATCATCATCATCCAAACTATCTGGAATACCATCGTTGTCATCATCATCATCTAAATAATCAGGTATACCATCTCCATCAGTATCCTTTTCTAAATGATCTGGTATACCATTGTTGTTGTCATCTTCATCAAGATTGTCTGGAATACCATCACCATCAGAGTCTAGCTCTTTATTGTCTGGGATACCATCTCCATCATCATCATCATCTAAACTATCTGGAATACCATCATTGTCATCATCATCATCTATATAATCTGGAATTCCATCACCATCAGTATCTATTTGCTGTGAATCTAAAATGCCATTGCCATCTGAGTCATCATCTAAATGGTCTGGTATCCCATCATTGTCATCATCATCATCAATATAATCTGGAATTCCATCACCATCAGTATCTACCTCTTGCTCATCAGGAATACCATTATTGTTATCATCTGTGTCCAGGGAATCAGGAATGCCATCATTGTCATCATCATCATCTAAATAATCTGGCAAACCATCTCCATCTGTATCAATTTGATACACATCTGGTATTCCATCTCCATCTTGGTCATCATCTAAAGAATCAGGAATGCCATCATTGTCATCATCATCATCTATAAAATCAGGAATACCATCACCATCAGTATCAGTTTCTAAATGATCTGGAATACCATCACCATCATCATCATCATCTAAATGGTCAGGTATACCATCATTATCATCATCATCATCTAAATAATCAGGAACTCCATCACCATCAGTGTCAACCTCAAGATTATCAGGAATACCATTCCCATTATCATCATTATCAAGATAATCAGGCACACCATCTCCATCACTATCTTTTTCAAGAGTATCAGGTATTCCATCACCATCATCATCATCATCATGTTCATTGGAAATACCATCACCGTCTATGTCATCATCTTTGTAGTCAGGAATTCCATCACCATCTGTGTCTTTTTCTAAACTATCTGGAATACCATCTCCATCATCATCATCATCAAGGTAATCTGGTACACCATCTCCATCTGTGTCCTTTTCTAAAATATCTGGAATGCCATCTCCATCATCATCATCATCTTGATCATTTGGAATACCATCTCCATCAATATCATCATCTAAATAGTCAGGGACACCATCCCCATCTTGATCTTCTAAGTAATCTAGAATACCATCACCATCTTTGTCATTTTCTAAATCATCAGGAATTCCATTACCATCATCATCTAAGTCATCCTTATTAGGAATACCATCACCATCAATATCATCATCTAAATAATCTGGAACTCCATCTCCATCTGTGTCTTTCAGATAATCTGGAACACCATCACCATCACTGTCACTTTCTAATTCATCTGGAATTCCATTATTATCATCATCACCATCCTCTTCATTGGAAATACCATCCCCATCAATATCATCATCCAAATAATCAGGGACACCATCACCATCTTGATCTTCTAAATAGTCAGGAATTCCATCACCATCAGTATCACTTTCAAGGTCATCTGGTATTCCATCCCCATCATTATCTTTATCATTTGGAACTTCATCACCATCATTGTCATCATCATCATCTAAATGATCAGGAATACCATCCCCATCAGAATCTTTCTCTTGATCATCAGGTATTCCATCCCCATCATCATCATCATCTTGGTCATTAGGTATACCATCTCCATCAATATCATCATCTAAATAATCTGGAACTCCATCCCCATCAGTATCTTCTAAATAGTCAAGTATACCATCACCATCTCTGTCAACTTCCCAATCATCTGGCACACCATCATTATCATCATCAACATTTGGTATACCATCACCATCAATATCATCATCTAAATAATCAGGTATACCATCACCATCAGTGTCTCCCTCAAGATGATCAAGTATACCATTACCATCATCATCTTGATCTAAATAATCAGGAATACCATCCCCATCTGAATCTTCCTCTTTGTCTGGAATGCCATCACCATCATCATCATTATCTTCATCATTTAAAATGCCATCACCATCAATATCTTCATCAAGGTAATCTGGAATGCCATCACCATCAGTATCTTTTTCTAAGTAATCTGGTTTAATGTAATGTTTTTCAATGCTACTGTCATCATTGTCATTATCTAATTGGTCCTCATCATTTTCTTTCTCTTGATCATCGGGTATTCCATCTCCATCATCATCATTATCTTGGCCATCAGGTATACCATCATTATCATCATCATCATCCAAATGATCTGGAATACCATCTCCATCAGTATCTTTCTCTTGATCATCAGGTATTCCATCTCCATTATCATCATCATCTTGGCTGTCAGGAATACCATCATTGTCATCATCATCATCCAAATGATCTGGAATGCCATCTCCATCAGTGTCTTTCTCTTGATCAGGTATTCCATCTCTATCATCATTATCTTGGCCATCAGGTATACCATCATTATCATCATCATCATCCAAATGATCTGGAATACCATCTCCATCAGTATCTTTCTCTTGATCATCAGGTATTCCATCTCCATCATCATCATCATCTTGGCTGTCAGGAATGCCATCATTGTCATCATCATCATCCAATTGATCTGGAATACCATCTCCATCAGAATCTTTCTCTTGATCATCAGGTATTCCATCTCCATCATCATCATTATCTTGGCTGTCAGGAATACCATCATTGTCATCATCATCATCCAAATGATCTGAAATACCATCTCCATCAGTATCTTTCTCTTGATCATCAGGTTTTCCATCTCCATCATCATCATCATCTTGGCTGTCAGGATTACTATCATTGTCATCATCGTCATCCAAATGATCTGGAATGCCATCCCCATCAGAATCTTTGTCTTGATCATCAGGTATTCCATCTCCATCATCATCATCATCTTGGCTGTCAGGAATGCCATCATTGTCATCATCATCATCCAAATGATCTGGAATACCATCCCCATCAGAATCTTTCTCTTGATCATCAGGTATTCCATCTCCATCATCATCATTATCTTTGCTGTCAGGAATACCATCATTGTCATCATCATCATCCAAATGATCTGGAATACCATCACCATCAGAATCTTTCTCTTGATCATCAGGTATTCCATCTCCATCATCATCATTATCTTTGCTGTCAGGAATACCATCATTGTCATCATCATCATCCAAATGATCTGGAATACCATCACCATCAGAATCTTTCTCTTGATCATCAGGTATTCCATCTCCATCATCATCATCATCTTGGCTGTCAGGAATACCATCATTGTCATCATCATCATCCAAATGATCTGGAATACCATCCCCATCAGAATCTTTCTCTTGATCATCAGGTATTCCATCTCCATCATCATCATTATCTTTGCTGTCAGGAATACCATCATTGTCATCATCATCATCATCCAAATGATCTGGAATACCATCCCCATCAGTATCTTTATCTTGATCATCAGGTATTCCATCTCCATCATCATCATTATCTTGGCTGTCAGGAATACCATCATTGTCATCATCATCATCTAAATGATCAGGAATTCCATCATTGTCATTATCATCATCTAAATGATCAGGATTACCATCCCCATCAGAATCTTTCTCTTGATCATCAGGTATTCCATCTCCATCATCATCATTATCTTGGCTGTCAGGTATACCATCATTATCATCATCATCATCTAAATGATCTGGAATACCATCTCCATCAGTATCTTTCTCTTGATCATCAGGTATTCCATCTCCATCATCATCATTATCTTGGCTGTCAGGAATACCATCATTGTCATCATCATCATCTAAATGATCAGGAATACCATCCCCATCAGAATCTTTCTCTTGATCATCAGGTATTCCATCTCCATCATCATCATTATCTTGGCTGTCAGGAATACCATCATTGTCATCATCATCATCCAAATCATCTGGAATACCATCTCCATCAGTATCTTTCTTTTGATCGTCAGGTATTCCATCTCCATCATCATCATTATCTTGGCTGTCAGGAATACCATCATTGTCATCATCATCATCTAAATGATCAGGAATGCCATCATTGTCATCATCATCATCTAAATGATCAGGAATACCATCCCTATCAGAATCTTTCTCTTGATCATCAGGTATTCCATCTCCATCCTCATCATTACCTTGGCTGTCAGGAATACCATCATTGTCATCATCATCATCCAAATGATCAGGTATGCCATCACCATCAGAATCTTTTTCTAGCATATCAGGAGGATTCAATAATTTGTTATATTTCTTTGTTATTTCTATAATATCTTCATTACTTATTTCATCACTATTCTGTAGATCAGGAAAGCTATAACCATCATTAATTCTTTCTAAATACTCAGGAAATTCATCTTTGTTTTTATCTGTGGCTTGATTACCAGGCATTAAATTGTCACTGTTGTCATAATCATTTTCTAAGTAATCTGCAATACCATCACCATTGGTGTCAGCTTCCTTTTTATCTGGAATACCATTGCCATTATCATCTTGGTCCAAGGAGTCATCAATTCCATCACCATCATCATCATGATCTACTTCATCTGGTACACCATCTCCATCTGTATCTGTCATCTGTTTTTCAATGACGTTCACATTCATTAGCTTCCTTTTGCAGAAAGCACACTGCAATTAAAACAGGAAATAGTTCATTGATTCAATAGAAATCATAAGAATGTAAGTCATCTACTAGAGAGATGATGATCTCAAGATTTTTGTTTTACAAAAAAAATAATAAAAAAAAATAAAAATAAATTATTTAGGAAAGCCTAATGATTAGCAAAACTTTTCTCAAATTGATTAGCGATTCAGGCTTCCTCAGCTTTTGATTGCTATTTTATATTCTTTATTTATGGCTTGAAAAATTCATAGCAAACTTTAATAAGATGAGTCTATATACTTACCTGAAAAGAGTAGGTTGATATTTTCTTTTTTTTTTTTTCAAGTGAATAAATATTTCTTTAAAAGTACCATTTTCTTTAAACTGGTCACACAATGTTTATTTCAAAGTATAATACAGTAATGAAAACAAAATGATCAATCTTTTGATTAAAAAAAAATTTTAATGTAACATTTTCAGTCTGTTGTGTTTGGCATAGTGTTTTCCAATACAAAACTAAAGTAATATCCAATTATGAATTTATTAATTTTGTATAAGGTACTGTTAAAAAATTTAAGACTTGAATTTTTTAAAGTTTAATACTTTACATAAAGTGTGTGACTTTCATTTGGCAACATTGTCTACTGATGATCTTTGTTTCAGCATGTTATAAAATTCCTGTATCATTACACCAGAGTTTAATGTAAAAATTTATTGCTTAATTTACATTGATGTTTTCAATTTCTTCAATTTGTAATAGTACACATGCATTGTTTTTAAAAATGTTCAAATATTTTCTTTTTTAGTATAAAAATACTGATCTTGAAATTTTTATTCATCTTTCTTAAACATTGCAATTATCCTTTAAAAAAAACAATGTCTTATTTAAATAAAATCCATCTTCCAGTTCACTTTATTATTCACACACCTTTTTGTGCAACATAATTTCAGTTTTACAAGTGTTCTTAGATATTGTATTTTTCAATATTAGAAACATCTGTTGTTTTTTTTAAAGATCATTAGATTTCACATTTGTAAAATAATCCTAGCACTTGGTGTCAGCATAGCCATAATTCTAATCATGCTATTTAAACATTTCAGTTTCTACAGTTGACATACTACCAATGTTTTTGTTTATCTTTCTAGCTATTTTTCCACTGAATCTGAACATAATCAGCTTATGGTAAATCATTTGTCTGAATTTGATTACTCAAGTCTTTCTAACCAACAATTCAATGCAAGCATTATATTTCAAGTTTTTTTTTTTGTTTGTTTCATCTAAATGAAAGATGTGATAGCAGGTATTAAGAAGTGACAGTTTTAGTCAGAGCTTATCTTAAATAATAAGAGTTACTTGATTACATAATCATCTTCTAAATAAATGGTCTCATTTGCATGAATCTTACTGCCTTTTCTTGTAATGGGAATCTGCTGGGGCTGCAGAAGTTTGTCATGACTAGTGACAGTCTCTTTTGTTATGGATGGCTTGTTGTATTGTTTCATTTTAGAAAGAGAATTATTAACATTTTAAAAGTGTTGGTCAAACTGACTTTATCTTGTTACTATGCCATAGAAGATATATTTCTCAAATGTGCTTCAGATAAAATCTATATGTGATCTTGTAGCTTTAAGTTGAAAGATTTAAATCTGACTTACAACCAATATTGAAAAACATGAAATGCAAATAATGTTAAAATGTTAACTAGTGTTAAATCAACTACAAAATAAAAACACACAAATTAGGGGGACGGAGCACTCTTTTTAAACAATTAGAATTTAATGTATTATTTTCTTAAATATTAACATAGTTAATGACATTCTAAATATCTTCTAATCTCTTTAGATTGTCAAAGAAATTTTAAAATTGTTCAAAACAAACACAAATCAAGAATAAAAAAAACAAACACATTTTATTTATTATAACTTTTGAAAAATAACAAATTCATAGTAATATTAACAATTAAAATGACATTCACAATGCAGTTATTCCAATCAATACACAATCATGCTTTCAATCAATCATCATAGCTTTCAAAGCCAAGATAGTAAACAGAGCACTTCTCCAGAGCATAAGTTCCCTTAGAAATACTTAAGTTGAGTATATAGCTTTTACCTCAACAATAGAACTTGTGGAGAAGCCAATATTGGAATGAGTGTATTCAAACAACATGCACATGATTGTTGACTGATAAATGGTGAGATATAATCACAACAAAACATTCAAAGTTGAAAAGATTGCATCAAAAAAATATCTTAAGTTTGGCAGTACTGTTCCTTCATTCACACTCATAATACTTCATCTACACTTTCAACACAAAATAATATAAACAAATGCTTTCTAGCATCAATACTAAGGTGTTCTTTAGGTAAGTTTTTTTTTTTTTTATTAAGTCCCTTAAAGATGAATCTATTCATGAGCAACATCTGATCATTACATTTTCTCCAGTA